ATATATATATATATATATATATATATATATATATATATATATATATATATATATATATATATATATATATATATATAAACAAAAAAGAAATAAACTGATAAATAAATATCTAATTCCTATGTTATGTATATCATCAAACAGTGAGATTAAAATTTGGGAGAAGGGGGAGAGCAAAATACCATATTATATATATATATATATATATATAGAATAAATGGCTCGCAATTGCATAGCTAATCAATCTATTGACATGACCACCCAACCCATGGTGGGCACACAAATTAATTGCAACTTTTGGTTCCGGATTCGTCAATCTTTTCAGTTGCATTCAGATCGTACCAGTGTATTTAAACTCATCTACATTTTGTGGTATTGACGTCGTATATTATGTCATTTCATCCACTAAGTTTTCTATTATTATTATTATTAAAACCTTTGAGCGTGAAGTGACACTTACTAAAAAAAGAAAAAGGACTGCAATTTTATATTATTTTATTTATTTTTTATGATAGCATATCTAAATTGGAACCTATCCTTGAGAGAATGGAATCAAGATGTGGAACTCTTTTCCAAGTGGGTCTGTTGGTAACTTGCCAAAATGAAAGGGAATAAAGGCGGCAGGAGCAAGACAAAGAAAGATTGGAACGGACTTACCATGTAATATTCCGAACCACGAAGGCAAATTGAAGTTACAAGCATCATTATCAATCGTGAATTAGCTTTGAGACTATTAGGATCTTTGTTATGATATCAAAAAATTGAATTTGACTGTGATGTTTAATGACCTGCCAAACATGTTTTTGTTGGTATGTTCAAAGGTCAGTAATCTCCTTTTTCTTCAAATGAAGTTGAATCACATTAATATCTCATGGGTGAGGAGAGGAAAGAAAGAAAGGGAAGGAAAGAAGAGAGGGAGGAGATGAGACTAAGGAAGAAAGGAAGGAAGGAAGGAAGGGGGAGAGAAGGAGAAATAAAAGAAAGATAAGCAATGAAAGGATAAGAAGGAATAAGAAAATAAAATTACATTCTCACATCAAAATCATATCATTATTTATAGATTTAAATAAACTCAGACCATTGGGTTGATTTAACAAAGTCAACTAAGAAATCTGACACCTTCATATCATTTCTCTCATTCAAACATTTCAAGGCAAAAATTATAGTTTATGGAAGACATTCAACATACACACGTTTCTAAAATTCTCTATTTTATGAATAAGACCCGAGAATCAAACGATTAGAAATTGCGTTGGAACAAGCAAAATTAGCTTAGTTATATTTCATGATTTATTCTTGAGTTTGCTTTACTATATAATTCTGAATCAAGTCTTTAATTTCGTGGATATTGGATATCTGTTCTTGGGATTTTTATTATCGATATGATCACAAACTTTTCTTCTTGTCTCCTCCTTGTTTAAATTGTATTTGTCCCTGACATGTGGAAAATCCTTTCCCATTACTTCCTTTTTCTCTTATTTAATCAAATAGACAAATAATCAACTCAATCATCATTCAAAAGGAGGCAACAACAAATCAGCCTTCTCCTCCGCTCTCAATCTTTGGCGCATATATCTATTAACCTTAAAGACACCATGCATTTCCAAGACACCGGAGTACCTCATACTACTAGCTAGGCTTTGCAGTTAACCAGGGATCTGTAGGTCATCCGGCCGTGAGGACCTTGCCGGAATCTCCTCACGTCAGGCGAATCGAGAAAGGCGCCTGCAACGCCGAGCCCGATTTCAACCTCCAGACCGCACCCCACGACTGCTGCATGGCGATCCATGCGTCGACTCACCGAGAGCCCGGCGACGGCGCCACCTGTTTGAATTGGACGGCTGCCAGATCTCCGTCGGCATCTTCGTACTCGACGAGCACGGCGAAGTAGTTAGGGTTTGAACCCGGATCCACAAGGAAGGCCACGTTGATCCCAGGGTGATCGCACTCCACTCTACAAAGCCAGACGTAGGAGCTCGTTAGAGGTCACAGAGACACGCCTTCCCCAACTGAGGAGCTCGAGTTGTGGCGTCATTAGAACAAGCAGACAATATAGAGTACTTGTAACGTCCAATTAAATCGACGTTGCGTTGCTTGCTGAAGGAAGCTACGCTCTCACCGTGTGTACAGTACTTGGAGAAGTCCGGCGCCGCGTAGCTGAGATGTTTGCCCGGGCAGTGACATGGCTCCAAATGCAGTCTCGCTCATGTCGAAATGGACGGGGCTCATTAAGGCATGCACTGCCGGGACACTCGTCTGTCATCACGACGGTCACAGGGTTACCCGAGCGAGCAGGGTTCCCGGTACATTTCACATAGTGAAAGAGATGTTGAAACTTGAGAGCATTCCATGGAGCAAATGCACCATACAAGTCCTGGCAGATTAATCTGTAGATTTATCTGATGACAAGCAACGCAACCCTTGCCTGACGTGAATGTGGAACCGTTCCCCGCTGCTATCACGGGTGAGAAAGGAGGCAGGTGCACCGCAGCTCCATACCCACATGCACCACCTGTGCAATTTAAGACACCATCAACTTGTATTGCATATTCTCTGTCCACATAACCACATGAAGCAAAGAATAGTTTCAGACAATACCATCACTTTCGGTACCATTAGCACCGCCGTGCCAAGTGGCTCCAGCAGAAGACCAGCCTGTGGATGTGGTGGAGAAGTTCGAGAGTTTGGGGTGCAATGGCCAACGAGAGAGAGGAAAGATATCGAAGCCATGAAGAAAAAGCGAGGAGAGGGGAAAGACTGATGAAGTGAAGTGAGGGCCATCGTCACTGCTTCTTAGCAGCCGAAGCTATCTGGAAGAGGAGACTTGGTTGTGTTTGAAGCAGGAAGTGTGGAGAATATTTGTAGAGTTGCAGTTGGCTTGCATGGCTTCAGCGTGTCAGCTCAGAGGGAGTGCAAGCTGAAACTGAAAGGTTTATGTAGCAGATGGCTTGTAGAGTAGCATTCGTGCGGGTAAGGTTTAGTGTCAAGGATACCTCAGGCGTTGGGTTGTTGTTATTGCTGGGGACGACGATGGCGGACTTCTGCTTGGTTTCAGTGTGTCGGAATGGCATCAGAGAGAGGCGAGAGTGGGTCAATTTGATACTTCTTCTCGGAGCGCTGCTGCTAACAAGAAAGAATGCATTAGTGACGAGCAGCTGCGAAGCGCAGCACCCGACACCAGCTCCGCCGCGGATCCTCTCACCGGAACCCTAAATGCAGCACCATCGTAACCACCACAGCCACCGCTGCGTTCCGCGCCCTGCTCAGGGCAGTCCCCGTCTCCGTCGCCTGCGCCGACCCTGTGGCATAGGCTTATTATATTTGGCTAGTCCAAATCGGTCCGATCCCGCTTGCGCATCAAGAGTCGTGAGCCGGCCTGACGCATACAGCTGATTGGCATATAGGCTCGGTGGACGTCGGTTCATGTCGCGCCTGACCTGTGAAAACAGATCAATTACTTGACCCGAATCCGACCCATCCCCAGGTCAAGATATCTTGATCGGATTCGACCAACGAACCACATCGAATAGATCGAGTCCGGGTTCGAATCGTTTGTCCCAATTACATCGATCTCTCTTTTCTGTAGGTAAATATCTCCAACATATCTGCCATGTACTGGCCTAGTGTTCGGTACAATGTCAATTTCACTCGGGCTTACATCTGTCTCTGTGGTTCCTCTCAGGGATTATGTTGTAAGCACTTCAATGATAGAGTAGTTTCGCTGTGGTGAAGGCATACCTGTGGATCATGGCATTTCTGGCTCCACTTCAGAGGACTCGAATACCCATTCTCGGCAGCCTAAGCCCATTCTGGTCCAACGAATGATCAATGCTGTTGCAGGTAGTACAGAGACAGAGAGAGAGAGAGAGAGAGAGAGAGAGAGAAGGACCACCACTATTCCTCGAATGGAGAAATAATTGGAATAATGAGGTGAAACCTCAAGGGAAAGGGACAAGAAGAAGAGCCTTGCTTCGGAGAAGCAGCCCTCTCCGCTGAGAAAGACCAGAGAGAGTACCCGAAAGCAAGGAAGGCCACGAACACCAGGAAGTGCGTGTCCCTGTAGCCGCGGGAACTGGTGAGCCGAGTGAGAGAACGCTTTGGTGGAGGGTGGGACCACTACCACATGCATGCATGCATGCGTGCCTGCATTCTCCATGTCTCCTCTCCTTCTCCCCTTGTTTATCTTTCTTCTTCCTCCGTTTGATGGCTCTGCATCAATATCACTGGTATCTCAGTTATCCCCAAGCGTGTTGCCACTATAATAATATCAACATCATGCAAAAGCTTATTCAGATATTGCAAGGCATGAATGGAGGTCAATATGAACTATCAGGCTTGAGAGCTCGGCCTCAACCAAGCGTGAGCAAGATGGATGATTCTACAATTCCAATCCGAGATGTCCACACAACCATATCAGCTGCATTTGGCTCATCGCTTGGACTTTGGCCAGCATAATGCTTGTGACTTTATTACGGTTCAACCATTCACATCGTGGAACTCCGCCGTACGTGTTGGCTCGTACGTGTGCGTGTGATGTGTCGTGGGTCGTATTTGTGTTTCCAACGCAATCTTAGGCTTTTAAGGTCCGTCCATGTGTGTCTTTTCATAGCCGAAGACGACTAGTAGTTGCAATCCGAGCCCCTCGTAGACATGCATTTTTATAGATTTCATCGACTTGGTACCACCACCTTCTCTTTGCCTTTTTCTTCCTTTTCCTCCAGTTTCTTCCCAGCTCCAGCAACACTAACCTTCTTCTTCTATCTTCTCTCCTCTCTCTCTCTCTCTCTCTCTCTCTCTCTCTAGCCATGGCTAACACTAACACAGTCTGCTCTATGTGTGGTGACATCGGCTTCGCCGACAAGCTCTTCCAATGCATCCGTTGCCACTCTCGCCTCCAGCACTCGTATGTATTACGCCTCTCTCTGTATCTCTCTGTCTCTCTCTCTCTAGATTTGCAACTCAGTGTCTGATTCGCAGCTACTGTACCAACTACTACGACGAGGCCACATCCGAGACCGTTGGGGTCTGTGATTGGTGCTTGAGTGAAGAGCGAAGTGGAGCTAAACGAGGGATCCACTCGAAGAGGCTGGCGAGGAAGGATTCTGCCGAAACCGGTAGTGGTTACAAGGCTGAGCACAACAGCGACCGGGAGGAAAGTCAGAGCCGTGGCAAGAGCGACAGCGCCGGTGGTGCTTCTTCCAAGCCAACGGGCCGCAGGTACAAGCTACTCAAGGATGTCTTGTGTTGAGCTTCATCCTGGTAGCTGTTAGATTATGTGCATATGTGTCGTTAGATCTACCGTGAAGGTTTGTGTATGATATCACCCGGTCTGCTGTAACTTCTTGTGCATATATATCTATGCTGGTGCTAATATGAAGGTTTCCTGTAAACGTTATCCAAGGCTGTAATCAGAAACATAAAGTAATGTTCTGCAACTTGTTTAACCCTATAGTTTCTCTAATTTCTACTTGTTCTAGCTCTTCCTGATCATGGTTATTCCTGTTCATCATTGATCTGCAAAACAATTAAACTACAGAAGCAATGAGCATGGCCAGGCAGTCAGTTCTTGTGCTGTTGCCTGGCAAACCATCTGCAATCTTTGGAAGACAGACATGGGTGGCTCCATTGAGGGCATATAAAGCTTGCGCAGTGGCAAGATGATGAGGAAAAGAGGAGCATGGCACTGCTGTTCTCGGTGGACATACATGTTGCAGTTTAAATGACGGGCAAAAGGTTATACCACATGGGAACAAGTAATGCAGTACTGGCAGTGTCCCTAAGTGTTGACCCTACGATGGAAGGCAGGTGTGGTCTTCTATGTGTCATGTAGCAGAAAGCCTTGGATCCTACATGGGGTTCTAACAACTCGTGATACCTGACGGTGTCATTCGATGTTAGTGGATAAGGGTTGCTCCACCGCTGCAATTCTTTCGAAGCATGTTAAATACATGGATCTCATGGCCACGCAACTCAATTATGGCTATCGCTTCGTGGTACGTATCCACTGACTCACTTTCCACTTCCTCGAGCCTATGCATTATGCCAATATTTTTACTAGTGCTGCATCCTAACTCTCCTTCCTGCTATATGCTTCTTCGCTTCAAGCCAATAGACCATCTAAACAAAGAGATATTCCATTTCCATCTACGTTTCGTGTCAATCCGTGAGAACATGGGAGCACGCATGCATGCATGCAGAGATGATTGCAATGAAGGGAAGGGAAGGGAAGGGAAGTGGGGAGAAGGGGGACGGGGAGGGGGATGGGGGGATGTGAGTGGGGAATACTTGGACTGGGTGCTCATTCACTTCGTCCTGTCTTGTAGGACATTACGTGCTTGCATGCTTGCTGCAGAAACCCCAGTGGATGGGCAGGTGGAACCATATCTAGTACACCGTCTGCATCTCCATCTTTATAAAGTGACTCTGCTACAAAAGCCAGCCCCTCGATTTCCTGATGCTTTATCTACTTCTCCACCAAAGCTTTGTCAAAGTTGCTGCAATGATGCTCCTATTATTGCAGCAACTGGAGACAGTGGAATAAAGCATTTCTTCTCTCCGGAGTTGTGATGTCGGGTGGTGACCTTTAATTAATGTGCATGATGCAAAAGCAGCTCAATAGAGCCGGCTGGACCAGGTAATATTCTACACGTCAAAAAAACAGAAAAAGAAAAACCAAGTAAAGCACAGGTCATCGTTGTGATCAAACTTTCAGAAAGACGAACCTCAAAATCGTGGAGAGAACCCACAATGAATAAACTAAGATTAGGGTTTCGCCAGAAATCACCAGTTCATTTAGGAAGATGGCACTTCCTTTCTCCCATGATAGAGATGATAATGGATCGATTTCACTCGAGTCATGTTAGGACTCGAGTTTAGATAACTAGACAACTAGATATCTCGAGTCATGTCAGCTCTACTATGGTAAAGTTTGCCTATCCCACCCATGTTACCTTATCAGGTTGATGAGTTCGTAAAAGTTCCACGTAGCTAAAAAGATTGAGCTCGGGCTCGTCGAGAGAGCCTGAATTGTACGGATTACGTAGGCCAGGCCTGGGTCCACCCATAGGAAGGTCTGCCCGTTGGCCCGTTTCCCCGGCCTCCCGCTAACTTTACATCCGTGAATGATACGGTGAAAACCGACACGTGCTCGCCCCACACTAAAAGGCCACGTGTGCACTTGGTTTTTTTGTTTTTGTTTTTTGTGTCCGTAATCGGTGGCTATATTAATTAACTGTGGCGATGCTTTTTTCTATTGGTCATTGTCAATGATCACGTGATTGGAAATTGGTCATAAATGAAGTTAGTTGAAACTCAGGGAAAAATCAATTGACCCGATCGAATCACTGCTAAAAAGCTCAAGTTTTCAGGGGTGATGTGAGCTCTCCTAAAGCTTGATTCGTTGGGGCTCACGTACGCATGGACACGGGTACCACCCCCACTGAAACGTTTTTCGGGTGATTCAGTCATGTTGCTGGGTTGGTGGTGCACTCTAATAATAGTGAAGAGTCGTGTTTTTAAACGATGAGGCTACGACCTAACCGTTAATTAGTTCGTGAGGCGGCTATTTAGATCAGGTGAGATTCCTCCATTCATACAGCGGAGTTGACTATGGATATAACAATAATGTCGGGTATTAGAAATAAGCATGTAACTTGAATCGTGACTTTAGTCGGCAGGTGAGGAACGATGGAGCTATTCATCGTGGAGCTCTCTTCTTCTTCATCGCCTTCTCTAGCCTTATTGTCTTGCTCCTGCTTCCGCTGGCAACCGCTGCCACCTGTGGCTCATTGGACCGAAAGCTCATGTCCCTCGCCCTCCGCTCTGTCTCGGGGTTCCAACTCCGCGATCCCGCAGCCCACGGCCTCGACTGCTCCATCAGGCTCCCCTCGCGCAACCTCAGCTGCGTCGTCTTGTGGATGCACTTGCGCAACGTTTCCGCCCTCCGCGTCCTCGACCTCTCCGGCAACGCTCTTCGAGCCTCCATTCCCAACGGCTTCTGTTTCGTCCCCGCCCTCCTCCAAGTCAACCTCGCCGATAACGCCCTCGCGGCGCCCTCTGGTTGGACCCCACGGGACCCAAACGCCGTGAAAGTCCCCGAGCTGATCGCCGTGAAGGTCCACTTCTAACATCTCGAAGTGGACCAGCTTCCCCGTCGGACCAGCTTCATCTCGAAGTGGACCAGCTTCCCCGCCGGACCAACTTCCCCGCCGGACTCCACCGCAGCTGCTTCTCCTACTGCCTCGTGGACCACGACTCCCCTGCCTCCTCCATCCTAGATTTCAACGCCGCCTCCGCCGCTTCCCCCTCCATCGCTGCTCCAGTCATGACCGCACCCGGCGTCGCCATGGGTGTGGCCACGACAACGAGGGCCTATTTGTCGGTGCTGCCGGGCTGCTCGCCCTCGGCGGTGGACCCCTCTCCTTCCCCTCCCAAATCTCGGCCTCTTCTCCTACGTGAGCCGGCGGCATTCTTTACTGCCGCCTTTCCTCTGCCCCTACCTGCAGAAGTAGAGCCGACGCCAAGAATCCTCTCTGCCTCGACGCAGCCTCGCGGCCGCTTCCCCCTCTTCTCCTACCTGAGCCGGCGGCATTCTTTATAGCCGTCTTTCCTCTAGCCTTTCCTGCAGAAGCAGAGCCGACGCCAAGAACCCTCTTTGCCTCGACGCAGCCTCGCGACCACTTCCCGGCCAGAGTTCACCGCAGAAGCTGCTGGTGCACACCCCGTCCCTCGCCAACTCCGATAGCTCCACCCGAACCGCTGCCGCCGTAGCGACAGCCGCCACCTGGGAGATCGTGAGCGTCGCACCCTCCAGCCTCTCAGTCGCACCATTGCACCCGCAGCTGCAGCAGTAGAGATCTGCCTCTAAAATCCCAAGGAAGCTGCGTCCTCTTCCGTGGAGAGTAAGAGCGGAACCTGGTCAAACATCTGACACGGACGGGCTGCAGACTGCAAGCAGCTGCGGCTTTCTCTTCCCTCCTCCCATCTTTTCCTCAAATCCCTTTTCTCCACTCCTCTTCTCACAAGCCTCCTCCCTCACCTCTCTCTCCCAAACCCGTGAGATCACTGCTCGACTTAAAAAAAAAAAAAATTGTCTTTGTTATCTTCCGGTTATTATTTCTGCTGAGAATCATGCAACTTCTCCTATAGTACGTATTTTCATTGATGTTATCATATTAATTCCTTTCAAGTTAACTACATATCCTGATAGGTTCAGTTTTTTACTCTCTTATTTGGATATGATTTGTTAGGCTACGTTGATGACTCTCTCAGTTGTCAATCAATTATGATCAACATCCTCGGAGAACCTACTCCAGTACCAAATTTAGTTCACAAACTATGGTTGCATCAAGATTGTCTCATCCTCCAAATTATTCAAGCCTCAATTGCTGGATCCGTCGCTTCATTGATCTCTTCATGTGTGACTGCTGCTACAGAAGCATGGTCTAAACTACAAACAACCTTGGCGAATCGTTCGCGTACTTGCAAGCTCAGTCTTCTATCCAAACTAATAACGACAAAACAAAAGGAAAATACTATCATTGATTATCTACAAAATATCAAAGTTATCATCGATGACTTGATTTTGATAGGTCATTTCCTATGTGACGAAGAGGTCATCAACCATACCCTTAATGGTCTCGGAGACGAATACAACGAATTGGCAGCTGCAATTCGGGCACGCAACTCACCAGTGTCATTTGAAGAACTCTATGATAAGTTAATTAACTATGAGATGTATTTGAGGCACGAGGACAAACTGCCCGGAACAACTATCACAGCTCAAGTCAATCACAAGTCCAAACGAAAGAGCACTCAATACACTACGAATAGCACCAAAGATTTGGCCAATACATCTCTTGATCCTATGGGTCCCATGCAAATCCCCCTTATCCTCATAATCATAATTTCTCACAACGTGGTAACTTCAATAACCGTCAGCCTTGGCATCCTTCCCTTACAAGCAAATAAAGAGCCGTTTGCTAGTTGTGTGATAAAATCGGACACTGCTAAAGTTTATCGATCTTGACGCCACCTTCCTGCTCTATCACACTGGTCTCAAGCGAATCTTATAACTACTCTGACTATGTTTATCCACAACATCTATGACGAGAATGAAGATATCATCATCGGTGACGGTAAAGGACTTCCTATAACTCATACTAGTTCTACAATGCTTAATTCTGATACTACAACCTTTACACTCGATGATATTTTATGTGCCCCTTATATTAAACGAAATCTCATATATGTTTCTCAATTTTATAAACATAATAATACTTCAATTGAATTCTTTCTTGATTCCTTTCTTATCAAAGACATGAGCATGAGGACATCCTTAGTCT